ATGGACAGGAAGGATATAATGTGATTTAGTTTCAGGCCACCTGCAAAGCCCTTCTGCATGCCAACTGCCGTCTGATATGAGGTGGCTTATTTCCTTTCCTTCCAGCCCCCACCACTGCGTGACATATCTAATTGCCTGTTTGTCCTTGTCTCTATCCCCTACTGGGTTGGAAGCTCTGTGTGGCAGGGCAGGGACTTTTCCACCTTGTTCTTCCTTGTATCCTAGCACCATGCGAGCCCAAGGAAAGAGTCTATTCAATAGCCACTGAGTGACACATGAACATAGTGTCAGCTCTGCGCTCATGGGAAAGCTGGTAGGAGGTAAGTCCAGAGACTGAGGTGGGCTCCAAAAACTAACAAGGGAGGAGCTGGAAGAGGGGGGGCGGTCCTGCTAGGCAGTCTGAAGCTAGTGGAACTGCTCTGCATTCTGAACCAGAGAACAAGGATGTTTTTTAAGGTCACTGGAGCAAGCAGGGTCCTGGAGGAGGAAGGCAGCAGAATGAAACAATTTGAAATAATTTTGGACTTATCCTTGGAAAGGCTACAGCACAGGGGACTTGAAGAGGAGTCTGCTATAGCTCAGTGGCCATACTAATTTTTATGATATAATATTGTTATTGTTATTACTATTATTTTATTTGAGACAGGATCCCATGTAACCCAGGCTGGTCTCAAACACCATACATAGCCAAAGATGACCTTGAACTTCTAGTCCTCCTGTCTCTACCTTCCCAGTGCTTGGATTACCATGCCCAGTTTATGTGGTGCTGGAGATCCAACCAGGGCTTTGCCAACTGAACTATGTCCTTAGCTATTATTTTTCCTTCAGTTTTGAGACAGGGTCTCTCTTTGTAGCATAGACTGGCCTAGGACTGTTGTTCCCCCTATTTTTCAGATGCTGAAGCTGAGACCCAGGGGTGAGTAATAGCTAGTGAGGTACAGTGTTCACCGACTCTCTTGTGCAAGGCACACACCTGAGGGCTGGAGGCAGGAAGGATGATTTTTATCTCTACAAAGAGGGAGGAGGTGCCACCCACAAGCCACACATCAACGGGCTAAGCATCAGTCCCAGTTGAACTTTCAGAGTCTGTTATTAAAGAGATGGCTTGGGGACACTTAGGGATGAGCTGGATGATTATCAGCACTGAGTGAATTCCCCGAGAACCCACTTTGCTAGGGAAAGATTGTTGATCTCATTAGTTTGCTAGATTAGAAATTGTGTTGGTAGTGATGAAGTGAGAGAAGGTGGTTGTGGTTTCTGGAAGAAATTATTCCTATTTCTCATTAGAATGTTGCAGGTGACACAGGGGAATGTGGGCAAGGGATGGTGTAGCTAAGAAGATGGATGAATGGGCTGTTACTGGAGTCCTGCTTGTCGTGTTTATGGGTGCTTTGAGGAAGGATATGGGTCATATGTTAGTAACATTGCTGATGTCAGGAAACTGGGCATCATCTCAGCAGGCAGCAATGGGACCCAAGATGTCCTAGATGCTGAAATGTAGGTCCGAACTTAGTAGAGTGACCCCCTCTTATCTGAAGTTTCATTTACCTATAGTCAAACACAGTCTAAAGTAGCAAATGGAGAATTCCAGAAACAATTCATAAGGTTAAAACTGTGTGTTACTCTGGGTACTCTGATGAATTCTTGTTCCTTTCTTCTTTGTCACACCTGGGATGTGGATGATCACTCTGCCCAGTGTTTTCACACTGTATATACTACCTGCCTGTCAGTCACTTAGCAGCTGTCTTGGCATGAGATACCATGGCCCTGACGTCTTAATGCTCATGTTTCGGTAACCCTCATTTTATTTAATGGCCCCCAAAGTGCCAGAGTAGTGATACTGTACTTTTGATATACAAAAGAAAAGTCATAAAGTACTTCCTTTAAGGGAAAAAAATGAAAGTTCTCAAGAAACTTCATAATTGGTATATGTCAGATACTCAACTCACAATGTGGCTACATACCAGCAGACTCACTGTAAGTTGAAAATATTAAATGCATTTAATACACCTGACCTACTGAACATCATAGCTCAGCCTATTTTACAGCAAAATCTCCTCGACTATCTCATGTACTTTGCTGAATACTTGTATCCAAAAGATGCAGGCAGCACAGTACACTGTAGTGTATCAGCCATTTACTCTTAGGATCTAGGGGTAGCTGATGGGGAGCTGTTGCCACTGCCTAGCATCTCAGGAGAATATCTGATGGCCAATCTCCAGTCTAGAAAAAGATAAAATTCAAGCTGGGCATGGTGGTGCACATCTTTGGTCTCAGCACTCGGGAGGTAGAGGTAGGCGGATCTCTGTGAGTTCAAGGTCAGCCTGGTCTACATAGTGAGTTCTAGGCCAGCTGGGGCTACAGGGAGACCCTGTCTCAAAAAGACAAACAAAACAAAACAAAATACTCAAAGTACAGTTGCTACTGAATACTTCTCAGTTTTATACCACCCTAAAGCATTGATTTGGAAGCATTGTAAGTCTGGGACATCTCTTCTTTCTTTCTTTTACTTTATTTTTAGTTTTTGGTCTTTTTGAGACAGGGTCTCCCTGTAGCCCCAGCTGTCCTGGAACTCACTCTGTAGACCAGGCTGGCCTTGAACTCACAGAACTCTACCTGTGCTGCCTTCCGAGTGCTGGTATTAAAGGCGTGTGCCACCACATCTGGCATTTTCTTTCTTTTTTAAAGGATGTATTTATTTTTACTTTATGTCATGAGTGTTTTGCTTGCATGCATGTATGTGTGCATTCATGCCTGGTACCTGCAGAAACCTGAAAAGGGTGCTGGTCCCCTGAAACTAGAGCTAGATAGTTGTGAGCTTGTGGGTATGTGTTGGGAACTGAACCTGGGTACTCTGTAACAGCAGCAAGTATTCTTAACATCTCACCAGCTTCCCTCCCCTCGCTTTGAGGCAGGGTTTTACTACATAGTCCTGATGGGCTTGGAACTTGTTATATAGACCAGGCTGGCCTTGAACTCGCAGAGATCCGCCTGCCTCTGCCTCCCCAGTGCTGGGATTAAAGGTGTGAGCCACTACACCCAGCCTTCAGGACATCTTTATAGAAAAAAAAAAAAATCACGGTTTGCATAGAGTTGGGCCCCATGCTTGATTCCAGGATTCACTGGGCTGGGGCCTTGGAACATCGCTGGAGGATAAGGTGATGACTGTGGATAGCTTAACAGGGATAAGGTGAAAACAAAGTTAGCCTAATTCCTGTCCATATCTGGCACCTGAAGAAGGTCTGAGCGGTGCTGATTGAGTAGGTATTTTGGATCTATTTTAGTCACAGACCAAAACAAAGTAGGCACCCGTTTAAAATTGCACTTTAAAAAAAATTTTTTTTTTTGGTCTTTTTGAGACAGGGTCTCCCTGTAGCCCCAGCTGTCCTGGAACTCACTGTGTAGACCAGGCTGGCCTTGAACTCACAGAGATCCACCTGCCTCTGCCTCCCAAGTGCTGGGATTAAAGGCATGTGCCACCACGCCCAGCAAAATTGCACTTATTTTATGTGTGTGTGTGTGTATGTGTGTGTGTGTGTGTGTGTGTGTGTGTGTGTGTGTGTACCTGGGTATGGTATGTGTGTGCCACAATGGGCAGGTGGAGGTCAGAGGACACCTTTCAGGAGTAGCTTCTCCCCTTCCAACATCTGGGTCCTGGGGATCAAACTCATCAGGCTTGGCATTGAGCACTTTTATTGACTGAACCATGTCTGCCATGCAGTACTGAAATCTTGGGGTTGGAGTGCTGAGGACAAGCATCTAATGCTGCTTGTCCATTTATTCCACTAGAAGACCAAGCTCTTTTCCTCTGCTGAAACCTGTGCCAAGAGGCTACCCTCCAACAGCCACAATTTGCACTTCAGGACTCTCACCATGGCCTGCCCATCCCTGCCTTCCTTTTTTCCTTCTACCTCTTATCCATTGTGATTACACTCTTGAGTCAGGTCAAGGGTCCAGCCTGCATGGGACACACAATCTAGGGGGAGAAAAAGACCATCAGGACACAAAATAGACATCATAGTTTGCCAAGCCTATCAGATTGCTGGAAAGTCCAAAACAAGACATGGGGATAGTGAGCAGTGCCTGTGTGGGGACGTTGAAGAGGGGTAAAGTGGTCCTGAACTCACAAGGGGGCAGCCATAGGGAGAAGGTGCTGTTGAATAGAGGAGGGCACAGGCTGTGGGTATAAGAATGTATCCCTGCATTGGAAACAGCAAGTGTAGGGTATGTTCTAGAACATTGTGGCCAGAACAGAGTGAGCTTGACCAGGCATAAGGAAGATTTCGGAGCAATTAAAGAAAGGGATTTTTAGAGCTTAGATTGCCTCTAGGGAATGAGCTTCCGTCAGAGGGGTGTGTAAGCCATAGTCACCAAGGAAGAGTCTGGAACATCCCAAAGGTTGAGTAGAAGCACTTCATTCCTTCAACCCCTTTCAAGTTCAAGAGCATCTTAGGTTTGGCAGAAGCTGGGTGGGGATGTCTGTGGAAGGAGTGAACGGAAAGCTCTAGGTTTTCAGGACCCAGGCAGGAGCCAGTTTCAGAGTTTTCAGCAGTCCCTTAGGGTCCCCTATTCCAAGTTCCAATAGCGCGCTATGCGCTCCCGGAGAACCTCATTGCCACCTGTCCTGTCCTCCAGGACCCTTTGCGGACAGGTGGGCTTCTTCCTTCTCCGGTGCCCCGAGTCCCCTGGACGCTCTTGACCCGCCCTGCGCCTTTGTGCTGGAGGAGCCGCCCCGGGCAGTTCCCTGGCGGCGGCACCGGTGACACGAGCATCTCCGGCAGCTGCGCTGTGGGCACCGCTGAAACCCAGCTGGGAGCGGCGGGGACACCGGGAGCTTCGGGAGCGCGCGCTCGGCGGCGGCGCGAGGACTCCGGGCTGTGCGGGCTGCGGCTGCGTGTGCGCGCTCTGGAGGCCGGGGGCGCGCCCGCCAGGTGTGCGAGCGGCCGCGCGCCGGCGGCAGGGCGCAGCTTTGTGCCGGTCGGTGTGCGCGCGTGCGCATCGCGGTGACGGTGCACGCGACTGGGCGGGCTGCGAGGGAACCCCGCGAAGCGGAGGAGGGGGTTGCGTCCGAATGGAGAGCCGTGGAGTCCGCGCTGGCCCTCGCGCGCGCGTGGGGTGAGCCGGCGGGACTGTTGACGTTCCGTCCACGTCTGGCAGTGGGAAGGTCAGTGGTTCCGGGCTGCGTTGTAATTCCATAGCCGGCTTGCATCCCGACGCGAGTCCTGGGTGTGACTGAGCGTGGAGCTGGAGTGGATGCGTGTGTTGCAAAGCACGGATGGCCCGGGTGAGCTCTGCGCACCGAGCAGTTGGGCGCACTGGGTTCTGTCTGGGAGGTAGGGTGACTGTCCTCAGAAATCCTTGCCGGGCGCGGCACACACCATGCAGAGGGGCGTGTGTGCGTGAGATGTTGGTCATCCCCCTGTCGGAGTCTGGAGAGAGACGCCTGGCGATGGGGGTCAGACGTGGGTGTTTACAGGTGGCGGTAGCAGGAAAGAAGCCGGGAACCTGAGAGGACCCTGTAGCTAGGCTGGGGGTGGGGAGGTGTTGTTGTTTTCCCTGGTAAGAGCAGGAAACTCCAGCCGGTCGTCCCTCCAGTCTGTGCCTGTTGCAGGGAGAGAAGCTAGGACCTCTGTGGACCTGTGGGGCAAGGCCAGCCTCCAGCCTGATGCTCATTTTAGAAGCCTTGGGTGGGTGTGGTGGTGGAAGCCTCCGTTGGGGGTCCAGGGCTTGTGTTCACTGGAAGGAGGGAGCCTGGACTTGAACTCTGGCTTTGCTTACACGTGTTGTCTGGACCTGGGAGCTGGTAGGGGCACCCTTTTTCCTCTATAGCTCTCCTTCACCCTTAACAAACCTGAAGGGCATTTACATGCTAGTGAGTTTTAGCCTTTGAATTCAGGGGTCTGCTTCTGTTGAGTGGCCCTCATCAGGGTCACCTCTAAAGGGAATACTAGGATTGTCCTGGGCCCAGTACTGGGGGGGGGTGCCTTGTGACCCTAGGACCATCCTTTGAGCCCTGTAAGCCTCAGTTTCCCTTCGAGGAGAAGGCTCTGTTGTCTGCTCCTCCTGCCGTAGGCAAGGAGTAAACAGAAAGCTCACTAGCTGCCTAGAGGTTGGGAGTGACTCAGGGCCTGTGAGGTCCTGGCCAGTGATCTCCCCTAGGTCTTGACAGGAGTTGTGAGAGGCTGTGACATCACCTCCAATTAAGGGTGCTGGGTTGACCCATTCCAGGGTTGTATGTCTGCTAGATGTGTCTGCTCAGGCTCTGGAAGCTGCCTCAGGTCCTTCCTCCCTCACTAGATGTTGAGGAGTTGGGGAAAGAAGGGATCTGGGGGACCAGGATGGGCAGGATAGAAGGCTGGATACCCCTCCCCCAGGGGGCAGGGACAGATGGGTAGGGTCAGGGCACAATTGATGGGAATCAGCATCAGCCCAGGTATTATAGTTCAGCAGGAGGTAGTCTCTGTTCTAGAGGATCCTCCTGAGACAGGCACCTTCACAGCCCTCCTCTCCCTCTTTCCCAAATTTCCTTCTGAGCAAATGTGGTCAGCTAGGTGTGGTAGCTTGACATCTGTAATCCCAGCACTTGGAAGGCTGAGGCAGGAGGACTGTCATGAGTTCAAGGCCAACCTGAGCTACCAAGTGAGATTCTATCTCTGAAACCAGAAATCAAAATTCCCAAACCAAAAGCAATTTCCAAAAACTAAAACATATAAAAAGAAAATCTGATCAAGTGTGGCTGAGTCACAGAGGTTCCAGAAAATGGATGGTGGTGGTGGCAGCCTGGCACAGTGGCTAAGCATGAAGGCTTAACTCCTCTCCTGGTGACCCTGTTGGTGACAGTTTGTTGTCAGGAAGATCTGGATGTGAATCACAGTTCCACCACCCACTCTCTGTGCCCCTTCTGTCCCCTAGGGATGACTGGGATAAAGGCTTGCTCACAGTGGTTTACTTCAGAAGTGATCTCAAGAAGCAAGGGCAGGGGCAGAGGGTGTGCAGGAGAGAAAGGCCGTTATTACTGCTTTTCTCTCTCCTGGGGGTCTCCTCAGGAGCCTAGGACTGCATTTCAGAACTGCTTTATTAGGGAGAGAAACCATTAGCAGCTCTGTGCTCCATGGCTATTAACTCTCTCATGTTTCCAGACTGTACATGCATGAGGCTCAGTGGTTTTCTGTGGAGACCCACACTACTGCTGCAAAGAGGGCCTGGCTTGTGCCTCTTGCAGTACTGATGTATATCACCTATAAGATGCTGCCCCAAGTGGAGGGGCATTGATCATGGCAGCGGTGGCTGGAGTAGGAGGTGGGCCAAGAGGCTTTGCAGTGATACCTGAGGTGTTCAACACACTGCATGACCTGAGTCTCAGTTTCCTTACCTGGGTGTTGTGATTTTTTTTTTTTTTAAGACAAGATCTTGTTGTGTAGCTCAGGCTGGTTTTGAACTAATAACCTTCTTGCCTTAGCCTCCTGAGTAGCTGGGATTATACATAGGTACCATTGTGCGTGGGTTTGTTGAACTTATTTTTCTTTTCTTTCTTTCTTTCTTTCTTTCTTTCTTTCTTTTTTTTTTTTGAGACAGGGTCTCATGTAGCACAGCCTGGCCTTGAACTCCTGATCTTCTTATCTCCACCACTATGTCTCTTCATTGAAATTTTAAAATTTATCCTTTTTTAGCCAGGCATGGTGGTACACGCCTTTAATCCCAGCACTGGGGAGGCAGAGGCAGGGGATCTCTGTGGGTTTGAGGCCAGTCTGGTCTCCATTAGGGAATCCAGGCCAGCTGCGGCTACAGGGAGACCTTGTCTCAAAAAGACCAAAAAAAAAAATTTATCCTTTTTATTTTATGTGTATGAGTGTATTGCTTGCATGTGTGTAAGTACACTCATGTTGTGCAGTGCCCACGGATGTCAGAAGAGGGCGTTGGGTCCCCTGGAACTGGAGTTCTGGATGGTTGTTAGCCAATATGTGGGTCCTGGGAACTGAACCCAGGTCTTCTGCAAGAGCAACAGTGCTCTTAACTGCTGAGACATCTCTCCAGCTCCCATGAAAATTTTAACACAGCAATGGGTGTTGGGGTGCAGTTCTGTGAAGTTGGGAAGGCAGTGGGGCCTGGTGGTGCAGACCTTCAATCACTCTGGTGGAGGAGACTGGATAGGCAACCTCTAAAACCCCTCCTGGTTGTGGAATCTGGGACTCAAGGACTAGACTCCTGCCCCAGTTGGTGCCTTTGGGTATGTGGCCCAGTTCCCCAGGCCTGAATGGATCTGGTTCACAGTCTTCAAATTAGAGCCAGTGATGCCCAGGAGGACACAGGAGCTCCAAAGTGGGCAGGGGAGGAAGAGGGAGCTGTCACTTGGAAGCAGGTGCTTGAAGAAGGAGTGGAGGGAGGGTAGATGTTGGCGGTTAGAACTGGCAGATGGTCGTGGGCACTGGTCTGGGCTGCAGTCAGTGGGGAGGACAGGGCAGGGAATGGGGGATGGTTAGAGAAATTGCAGAACAGGAAGGGAGACAGGACAGACTGGCAGGAGGTAGCCAAGATGCCAGAAGACAGGTCTGGGGTGAGCTGGCAGTCGTGGTGTCCAGAGTTAGAGGTGTTTTGGGCATAGCACAGTCTGGGCCTGGGGAAGAGGGAGAGAGAGTGGCAGGAGAGAAGGGCAGGGAAGCAGCAGTTGAGTGTTACTCGAGGGAGTTGTAGAGCATGAGCCGAGCAGGCTTTGTATATCAGGGTCGGGACCGTCCAGCTTCCTCACTTTCCTTTTTCCCATGAGCCCACTGTGCCTCCTGGGCCACTACCATCTTTGACAGGGGAGGTCTGTCTGCAAGCACTTAGGTTCTGCTATGGTCAGCTAAGGAAGAAGTTGTGGATGTACCTTAGCCAAGGCCTGTTGCCATGGTACCAGGTGGCTCTGGTCTCCCTGCCCTCTCCCATCACACAGTAGGGAGGTATCCATGAGCCTCCTGCTCATACATAGACACTTCGGGCTGGCATTACAGAGGTCACTTAGTCGATCCCTCTGCCTGCAGCAAGGTCACACCTCACAGAGTTTGGGGTGGTGCTGCACTCATTTAAAGACTAGTCTGTTCTCTGCAATTGAGAATGGATTCTGTTCTAATAAGTTTTGTAAAAAAAAAAAAAAAAAAAAAAAAATAAGGGGGGGCGGGGGGATCAGTGTTTTGGTGCCTCTTCAGTGGGAAGTTCTGCTTTATGTCTGATCTTAGCTGCTATGCTGTGTATGTGTGTGTGTGTGTGTGTGTGTGTGTGTGTGTGTGTTTCCCTGCTCCCTGTAGCCCAAGCTACCTGGAGCTCACTATGTAGACCAAGCTGGACTCGAACTCACAGAGATCCACCTGCCTCTGCCTCCCAAGTACTGGGATTAAAGGTGTGCGCTACCACACCCCACATGGAATAAGGGATTTCTATCCATCTGCTCCTGATGCAGAACAGCCTCAGGGACTTCAAGGCAGGTGGACTGGGAAGGCCAGGCTTGTGCTTTGAGGCTTTGGCCTGTGACAGAGGCTGTGCCGAGCCCTCTGCATTGCCTAGGCTCTGGTTCTGGACTTGCATTTTTCTTTCAAGGCTAGGCCACCTCTCATCCTTCCCTGGCTCAGATATAGGATTGTCAGTCTCCTTCCTGGGTCAGCCTGGGCTAGCTGGCCTAGCTCTGCCAGGTCTGGGTCAGCAGATAACACCAGGCATGGGCACCTGTAGGATCTAGGTATAGCCAGGCCCTGCTGGTCAGTGTCTGGGAGTGAGCCAGAGCAGGAGTGGCAGACAGGTAGACAGACTGAGGTGTGCTTGTGCGCGAGTGCGTGTGTGTGTGCTCCGTGCTCTTGTGTGTCTTGGAGTCCTTGCTGCTGGGTTGGTGCATGTGTATCTCCGTGACTCCATGTGGCTGCTGGCATGTCTGTGCACTGTGCTATGGGGTTTGTTTTGGTACCAGTGTTTGGATCTCCTTGACAGCTACCCACTAGACCCTCTCCAGGGTTCTGGAGAGTGTGGTGACAGGTGATACTTTAGACTGGCAGGGTTTCTGCCCTCCATGAGCTCTCTGAGTCTTCTGCCCTGCCCAGTTCTGCCCTCTCTCTAGCCTTTCTTACTTCAGCCCTCTCTCTGCCATGAGAAAGTTGCTACTCTGTCTCGGGATGTGTGGGTATCCACTGCCTTAAG